AGCTCTGAAACAGCTGTGAGAATCAGAGTGGCTACAAGAAGTGGAAGAGCACTTCTCCAGGAAATCCTGTTGTTGTCTGGATGATGCAGAGCGACACGACCTGAACACCACCACAGACCTGCAGCTGGGTTGCAGAATTGAACCTGTTGGAAGGCTGGTGGCACTGGTCATCACTGTATTGGAAATTGCGTGAATATCATCAATAATAATAAAAACACAAAGCACTGTAGTAGTTGTGCATAAAGTATATATATTGTACAATTTACATAGTTTTAAAGGAGCTATTTGTAAGTTTTACTATAGCTACATGCTAACATTAGCATTAACAGCTGTTTACTTACCAGTCCAGAAGACACATTGTGAATTCAGCATCAAACTTAATTCACCAAAGTTCTCCAAGTCTCCAAAGGTGGAAGGCAACATGAATGTTAACTCTTGCCTCTCTCACATCTTTCCTTCTACTTAAGTTAGCATGCTAACCAGCAAGCCCCAGCCATAGCACGTATTATAACATCCTGTACTATAAAGATGATGATGACTGAAGCTCTTGTCAAGTCCCAATCGCCACCACCCGCTCACGGCAAGAAACCACATTCAGGGACAGATAAAACTTACAAATAGCTCCTTTTAAAACTATTCAGGAGAACAAAGAAGTGAAATATGATTGGCTCTCTGTCTAACAAGAAATCAGATCTCAACACCCTCACAACCAATTATCAAGAAGCCATGAGCTACCCGCATGTTTAAATACACTTAATGCATGCACAGGAATTTCAGGAAAGACTCTTGATATGAAAACACAGAACATCTGGTGACACTTAACATGACATCTTCATGTTTTTCAGCTACATGAACCCCAACACGCATAAAAGCAAAGTAATCAAAGGCAGACAGAAGTAACAGAGTGAATAAATTAAAAAATGAATGATTCACGCTGGTTTACTTCACATTGCACCACCACCAAAAAAAAGGGCCCTTAAGTGTTTTTAGTAGTGGATTTATTGCTTATTCAACTTGGCGGCCTTTCACGTATTCATTTTCCATCAATTCAGCCACTGCATCTGTCTGTTTATGCTTCTCTATAATTTCAAATTGGCCAGCAGACATTAAACGACATTAACAAGCAGCCCATGCGGCTGTCAGTGTTTTGATTGTGTTGCTCTGCCCTCGATCAGCTCGCAGCCATTAGCACGCTGAATATTTAATCATGTAACTCTTCCTCTATTACTTACCATTAATGCAGCCTACTTTTCATATCCCTTCACACAAACTCGTACGCATCCCACCAGTGCTGTTGACATTCACCTCCACTTTATAGTTCAACATGGGGAGGAAATCCTTGGGAAGAGAAAAGCTAAATAATTTCTCCTAGTTGCCTCAGGGGTTCTTGAGCAACACTCATTAATTAAGGGGACTGTATTAGTCATGACTCCCACCAAAGCTTTTGCATGTTAATGAGGAGTGTGTTTTAGTGTGCACCTTGTGAGTTGAGGCAGCCTCAGGCCAGGTCCTGACTAGTACTTAAAGACACACTTCATGGTTTGTTATAAAACGATACTTGAGCTCTGTGGTAAATCCCCACAGCTGCATCATCAAAGCTTTTTTCCCTTATAATGTATTGTTTATAATCATCCAAAATCATGTCAGATTCTAATTGAAGATGCATTAACTACGGCTTAACCAGTTTGATAAGCTTAGCGGCAAGACTTGGATCAATAAACACACTGCCAAAAATCAGTTAATCCCATATTTATAAGGAGCAGAGAGATCCATAATTATTATTTCATGTTGTTATAATTATATTCTTTTTAAAAATGTATGAATCAAATTTCCCTTTTTGGCTAATAGCGCATTCCCACTCAAGCAGAGTTGTGGTGGCCTCAGGTCAACTCCAGAACAGCCTCATTAGAACCTTTTGCTGTGAGGCCCATTAGTGGAGCATGTAGTATGTCATGTGTAACATGATGATCCTGGTGAGATTAACATGCAGCAGCAAGCTGATGTGGTGCTGAACTGCAGACCTGAGAAACTAGAGCTGGCAGAAATCAGTCACTCATTCACTATTGATGAAATGATAAACTTGTAATAGGACACTTCACACATGAAGCACGAATAATCAGTGGTGAAGAAATGTATTTTATGCCGTCAGTTGATAAAGTGGAAGAAAATTTTGACATGTCACAGAAGGAAAAGCACAGGTGTAACAAATAAAATACACAACAGATAAATTCCATTTAGCTGCTTCAGTGTGAGGGTCCTGTTGTTGTGCATGCTGGCTCAGTGTCACACTACAATGGCTTACTGGGACACTTAAATAGAGTAGACCCATTGTTAATGATATTAGTGACACCTGGGATTTTCGTACTATAACAACTCAAATTATCTGCCGTGCAGATGTTGAACACCTGTCTTAATGCATCAGTTTTGATTGTACTATTCAAACAGCCTAAATTGGTCTAAACTAAATATACATTATGTGGGAAATACCAAACTATTTAGGGGACAACAGGCTGTGCAGGGGTTAAAGATCACATCTATCACTGTAGTTTGACTCCCTTTGGGCTTGGTTTCGTGTTCCAATGAACACAAATGACCATGTTCGCAGGTGGGAAGCCAGTGAGGGATCATGTCCTTGTTGCTGCACTAGCGAGTCCTACTGACTGAGCGGTGTGTCTGCGGAGTGAAATAGTCAGAACACTCAATAAGCCCTCCTTCAGTGTTTGCATGCACGCTTCATAACCCTTAGTTCTTACTTAAATTCCCTGCAGATCCATGGGTCCATTCACCCTCTTCAGGTGAACCATGAGACCTCATTTATAAAAGTCCCTGGACAAGGCTGGATTACCAAAAGGTCAGAGTTGTAAAACTGTCCCAGGGCTGTGTGAGCCTCTGGGACACCAGGTTCAATGTCTGTCACTTGATTTGTAGTAATTTGAGTAAATTTGTTTGGGAATATGCACATTGGTATTGTATGTATTTACCTCATCTTTAAATCTCAGGTTCAAATATTTTTGATACTTTTCATTATTTCAATTGATATTGTTTTTACACAGTGTAATCGAAGAATACTTCTGAAGCTAAGGATTCATACACTGAGCAGTGGAAATGTGGATTATGCTGCAGAAGTAGTCTGAGCCATTAAAGTCTGAGTAAAGTCCAGGATGTTTCACATCTGGGAGACAACTTTAGAGTTTTTCTTATGCAGCTACATGTTAACATCCATGACTGACACTGTCGGAGCAGTGAGACGGATTTACTGTTCACTGGAAGGTCTCCTATTGGTGGTTAACCATACTTGTATTAAACTCCTTATTCCCTCTGGCCTCTGTAGCTAACAGCAAACTATAAAAGTCAAGAGAGCAGTTCATGGTACCTAGCAGGCTATAAAACACTGACCCTGAGCATGCATGCAGCACTGTGTACGCCCCATGTTATTAGTGAGTCAGCATTTCATGAATGAAACAAAACTAGCCATATTCTCATTCTGCTGACCTTGCACTGTTTTCTATTATTAGTCTCTCAGTTTTATGGTTGTAGAAATTTATACAGCCCATGAAGGACCGTGTAACTTTCAATCTGAGAGAAATGTCAAAATTGCACTTGCAGGGGTTGTGACACACCAGCAGTTCTGCTCTGAATTTGGCTGGTGTGATGCTCTTTGTTGGAAGTGTGATGGCGGTGTGGTTCAGTTCACAGCCATCTGCTGCCAAAGCCTTTTAAACAAGCAATTCATGCATTGTTAACTGCTTTAATATTCATAATGTTACATTGCTTTAATGAGTTGTTATAATAAGTGGATGGGGAGCATTACTCAGCTTGAATTGAAAGTTGCCTATTACAGGTGAGATATGTATAAATATGTTAAAAGCAAAAAAAAAAGTTAAAATATGAACCCAAGGAATAGAGATGGGAAAAGCTGGATTTTACAGGGGCGGGGATGGTGCCAGAAAGTTTTGATTTATAGCTTAAGTGTTGGATTTCAGTAAGATATCGCGCTGCCTCAACACTACACAGATCTATTGTACATGGTGCTTTAGTTATATTCCCCCACATTATCTGTATTCAGATTCTTTTATTCATTTTGTGATATAAGCAACAACAGAGATGTTCACCTTGTCTCACATTGTGATAAAGAGCAGCGATCACAGTGAGCAGATTTGCAGTAGAGATGTCTTTGCTTTGTGCTACTGACAAGGGAAAGATAACTGAGCTCCACAATCAAAAAGCTCTATCTGCATTATAAACTTGTAGGAGGAAGCACAAGCTGACCAGTCACAGTGTGTAGCTGCCAGACACCCATATTTTCCAGTTGCACATTTAACTGATATTATACTGGGACACTGGGAAATACTGAGACGTTTGAAGCAGTTATTTCCCATTAGCAGACGTAAACTCTCTGGAATTAGGGTAAGTCTGTAAGCTTCTAGAAAGCTCTACTTGTTTACATGATTTTGTGAAAGTTAAGTGTTGATATATTTCTTGATGTTGTGCCTCACTAGTCACCGCCAGCCTCATTAGGCTAATTGATGCTGATACTGAGCAATCAGTCAGCACACCTGGCATGTATCAGCTGTTCCTCCTAACGCCTCTACCACCTGATGGTGGTTTTAAAGTAAAAACTGGGGCAGAAAAAGCAGCTACGCCTTTGTCATTCCGTGAATGAAAGTAACCTTCATGTTACAGAAACCACTTCACATCCATTTTGAATGAGCCGAGTTTGGAAACGTGGATGTTCGGAAAGCTGGCTGCCGACAGAAGAAAGGTTCAGCTGTGGCTTCGTATTCTGAGCCAGCTAGCTTGTTAACTGTCCTCTCATCAGTGGAGTTTGCGATGGCTGCTAGGCTCAAAAAAATTTTCCAATGACCTCTCCATCTTTCACAGCAGCAGACACACACACACACACACACACACACACACACACACACACACATGCACACATGCACACACATGCACACACTGCTATTCTGACTGCGGAGTCTCTCTCTCTATCTCTCCCTCAGAGCATGACGAGTGTGCCAGCGGCCAAAATTTGTGTGATGAGAACGCCATCTGCACCAACACCATCAGAGGACACCTGTGTACCTGCAAGCCGGGCTACGTGGGCAATGGCACCATCTGCAGAGGTAAGTTCCTGCCCTGGAACAGCCCACCAGGCACAAAAAAAAGACACACAGATACAGAGTCAAACCTTCCTCCACATCCTCTGATGGTGGCTGATTCTCTGCTCCGTAACATCATGGATCACTCCTCCTTCACATCACTTAACCAGCAGCAGCAGCAGCTGCCGCAGACGTGATGAAAATTAATTCTGGGCCAGTTTCAGCCTATTTTTCCACATGTGTGCATCCTTCCCTTCACTGCTCATCCTGCTCCCCGCTGACCCGTCACCCCGCCCAAGTGCATCACCCGGTCGGCCCTACAGTATCACACAGATGGATAGAAGAAATTATGAAATTAGAAATATTTTTCTGCAGTGGGTCTGTTGCACAAACAGCACTGACTAACAGCTGTGACAAAATATATATATACAAAAATAATCTGTTTATAAAAGCCTCCTTTCACACCTTTGCAGTGGGCTTAGTGCACTCCAGCCTAATAGCTAAAGCACTTGTAGGTTGTATGCTATCATCTTCAGAAAATAAAATTAGGGGTGGTCAATCTATTAAATCAAAGTGGAACAGTGCCTCAATAAAAGAAATTTAATAAATCCTTAAATGAACACTTAACACAGCGCAGTGGGGATTCATTTAGCGAGTTTTTTTAGACATCCAGGTAACATAACCTCTGTTCAAACAGCATCCCAACCTCTTACATTTCAGTGCATGAAACACTGTCTGAATTATAGTCATTTCAGTAAATTATATGCTGTTCAAATAATAGTTATATGTAACAGGGATAAAAACTTGGCAAGCACTCACCATATGTGGCACACACCTTATTGTATTCAGTATCAATTTACATACTTTTTCTACACAATACTGCACAGTAGATACTCACAACTAGGGCTTCACTTTTGTCATTTGTTGACCTTCAATGGAATTGTGACAAAACTGTTGAGTGAGTTTTTAATATTTTGGTTTTACACATTTGAAAGTAGAGGAAGAAGGTAAAGCTGATTTTTTTTATTTTTTTGCATTATTCATTGCATTGAGAATGAATTGCATTTCAGTTTCAGAGAATATTATGCTTAACATTGTGGTGCTACGTGCACTGAAATGACAGTTGGTGAAAGCTATTTAAATCGATCATAAGTTTGTTTATTTTCAAATCAGTTTTTTCATATAGTGTCTGTTCTACTGTTTCAAGCAGAGGTGTGATGCACCTGAAAAATGTCATTAAAATGGGTGACAGCTTTTTCAAGTCAAAGATCTGTTCAGATGATAGTTCCAGTATTTTGAAAAGAGGGCAGTAGAGCTCAACCTGAGGCACAAAGGCTTACAAAACAAAACCTAGTGATGAGAAATTAACTGAGCTTTGTATAACCCTTACTTAAGAATTTCAAGATTTCTGCTTTGCCGGCTTTGTCTAAACCAGGTCAGGTGCTGTCCAGTAAACAGAACTTTGAAAGGGAGTTTTCACTAACATCCTGCCATGACTGTGCAACCTTGGTAGAAGCTATTCATGATCAATGCAGATATCTTGTCAGTAAACACTGGCTTTTGGCCAAAACTTGCCATTTTCTCTGGCCTGCCAATTCAGAAATTGCATCTTTAATAAACTCTGTGAGCAGAACAGCAGTCAATGCTCTTCAGTGAGTGAGTGACTCATTGCTGTTTTATGATACCAAAACGATTTTCCCATTCGGGGGGGGGGGGCTGCAATGTGTTTAACAACTCCTTTATCGAATGGAACAATAAAAAATAGAAACATTTATGGTTATATTCGTGAAAAGCAAATTGGGAGCTTGCAGTGGCAATTGTTTCTCTAATGTACCTCTGTGACCCCAGTGTTAGTGTTAATGTGAGTGAATATTTCTGGAAGGCTGTATAGTTGTTTACACGCCCTCTGACATCCTTAGGGTGGTTGTGCGTGCATGTACACAAGCGACCTCCAGTTTTAGACCCCACGCTCATGTGTCCGCTCGGCCATATTCTGCAGGAACTATATTTAACAGTATATATTTGCGCTGAAGGCAGCCACAGTGGGACAGTCGCTGCAGGTTCAAGACAGATGAGGCAGGACAGTCGATAACAGGAGTGTGAGGACACTCATTAGCGGGTTGGCAGGGTGAAGAAGGTACACTCTACGCCACGCTCGGTCCTTGACTAAGTAACCAGGAAGTCCCTAGAGATATAATATCTCTTGGCAGCGTAGGAAAGATAACATGGTTGTTAGAGTTATGTGCAGATAGCCGGTTACATTTTTGACCCAGTTCCAAACTGATAAAATGCCTACAAGTGTCTTATTGATTTTTTTTTTCCATCTCCCTCTTTTTTTTTATTAGCAAAAAAAAAAAAATTAACATTCAGGTTTCTATTCAGCTAAAGAGCAGATATACAATATATGTGGAAGAACAAGTTATTTATTTATTTTATTTTTTACATTTTCCCTCCAAAAGATAATAAATGAGGAAGACTAAAAAAAACACAAACAAGCTCTGCTCACGTCTGGTGTTTCACTTGTAAGTAAAGAGATCCCGTGAGCTCACAAGGAGCCCTTTCATGCAGTTTTCATGACTGTGTGCTTTTGCTTGGCTGCTGTCCAGGAGACGAGAGTATCATTAAGCTTAATTAGGCTTTGATTTTCCGAACTACTTAAACATGATCTCAATAAACTTCCAGCAAATATGTTGCATCGTGGGATATCAGTCACTACGAAGGAGCCAGCATCACGAGATGAGACAATGAGACAATCTCTGTGCTGGTTCCCCCAAACACCAGCAGCTTGCAAGGCTGCAACGTCTGCAAAACGCCATCTTTGTTTGTTTTTTTTTGTTGTTTTTTTTTTGTTTTTTGGCTGAAAGTTTACAAATGTAAATTTAAAACCAAAATCTAGTCCACTGATATTCATGTTATTTAACAGAGGTCAAATTCGAACATGGTCAATTTTGACCCTCCTGACATGTTCCACTGTGATTTCTCACTCATTAACACATGTTCTGTATCTCCTCTGCTGATCATCACCGTGACAACTAATAATGTCGTAATTAGGACAGGACAGGACAGGGGAAAGCATGTCAGTCATACCAATGACTAGCAAGGGAAAGTGTGTCATGGGCTGCTGCAGGTGCGTGCGTGTGTGTGTGTGTGTGTGTGTGTGTGTGTGTGTGTGTGTGTGTGTGTGTGTGTGTGTGTGTGTGTGTGTGTGTGAGTGCAAGGGGGAAAGATGGATTTAAGAAAGGACAGCAGAAGGAACAAAGCGAGACATAAGGTAAATGCAAAGACAATAATAGAGGAAAGAGGCAGAAGACAGCAGGGGAAGGATAAAGAAGTAAGTCTGTCCAACTGCACCCGCCCCGCTCTACCCCTCAGTAACACTGTGGATGGGTGGCAGGTGGAAGGCAGGTCTAGGGAGAGATCAATGCAATTTGCAAAGTGCCACCACACAATTTCTGCCTCTGGATTGCCTCCAGGCTCATGCTACACACACACACACACACACACACACAGGGCATTATACTACATTCAGACCTCAGTGTAAGCAGCCATATCAAGTCAGTTGTGAAATCAGCCTTTTATCACTTAAGAAATATTACCAGAATCAGAGATCTGGCCGTGATGCTTCAGATTGGACTGTCGTAACACCCTGTCATCGGGTCTCCTGCAGAAACCTTTAAAACCATCACAACTCATCGAGAATGCTGCAGTAAGGTTTCTCACCAGAATCCAATCGAGTTTCAAATCCATTTTAAAATCCTCTTACTTCTCGGTCAACAGCTTTGACCCTAAATACATTCCTCAACTGCTAATTCTTTATGGACCCACTAGAACCCTCAGATCATCAGGGACTGCTCTACTGGTTCTCCCTCGGGTTAACACTAAGCTTTTAGTTATCAAGCTTCCAACTACTGGAATCTGCTTCCTGAAAATCTGAGACAGGCTTCATCTAAAACCACACTCAGAGCCCAACTGTTCCCCAAAGCCCTTAATGAACACTAACTCAGGCTTTAGCACAGTCGCCTCAAGTGCCTTTAAGAATTTATGTGCTCACATTGTTTGATTTCTATCATGCTTTTATATTTTGTATGAATCAGTTTCACATGTTTTATACATTGGTGTTTTTATTTGATGCAATTGGTGTTTTTATTTGATGCAATCTTACAGTAATATTCCTCTGTAAAGCACGAGGTATGAAATGAGCTATGTAAATAATATTCCCTTGCCTTGCCTGGCCTTGCCCAGAAGTCATGGTCAACGTGCAAATGATGGAACAGAGCAGCCAGAGCGGCAGATGTTTAGAATATGAAGTATGGAATATAAATATATGGAAATTATTAAATATGGGGCAAAAAATCCACTTATGGTAATGCTGGAATGTACACTGGAGAAACTCTATATGGTAAATGGACACCAGAACAAAATATGTGAACGCTCGCACATTACATCACACCCATAAGTTGTTGTTATACAAGCCATTCCAAAAGCATGGATATTAATCTGCTGCCATAACAGCCACTACCCCTGAGGGTAAAGGCCTTCCTCAAGATTTTGGGTCCTGGCTGCTCCGCCACAAGAGCATTACTGAGGTCGGACACTGATGTCAGTCAATAAGATTTTAATTGAAGAAACCCTTTTGATATTTTATGTGCGGACACTTCCGGACTAAAGAAATATTGATAATGAAAGAACAGACAGACGGTCGACAGGTCGGGAGTCTCCACCGCTTCATCTCCTGCTGGTTTACGATGCCGGTAAATCTGAATTAATTTAACGTTAGTGGGCGTGGTTACTGAAAAATGAACTCACTGAAAAATGAACAACTGTAGATAATTTATCAGAGTTAACGAGGTACAGCATGTCAACACTGACAAACGTTTAAGCCTTTAAATCTTTGCTATGCTGCTTCTAACTAACATGATCTGATCGCAGTAACGCGGTTAACATCCACAATAACAATGCAGACCGACAGGCTGCGAGGCTGAGTCCCGTGTTCGGCCACATCACGTGTGAATTAGAGAAATAAG